CGCAGCCAAACCAGCAGGGAGAGGGAGGGCCACATCCAGCAGGCCACCAACCTGTCTCTGACCTACCACTTCCTCACCCCCCTCACCAACATGGTGGTGGAGAAGCCGGAGGTCCTGGCTGACGGCACCATGGCCCCGGCGCCCACCGTCCTGCCAGCAGCTGAGGAGGCTGCCTCACCGGCCAATGAGCTGCCAGGCGACCCAGATGACAGAAAGCCACAGAAACCCGACGGGATGCGCAGCAGCCAGACTTCATCTCTGAGGAACACCATTGGTGAGGCTGTGTGTCCTAGTTTGTATTGTAGAGGGGCTTTCCATTGTTCTGACTTCTTTGCATCGACTCTCTTCCCTCCAGCTTCGTGGAGGAGTTTCCAGGTACTTAAATGTACATGGAGCAGAAAAGGAGATTAGAGCGAGGAAACGCTGGCGTATACTATTCATTTAGTGTTTTAACAAGTAGCGAGGTTTCATAAACAAGAGCAGTTTAAGAGGCCTCTATATTATTTTTTGTAATTTTAGCATGTTTTTCATTATCTGGTTTTCACTGTAGGAACTTCTGGGCAGTTTTCAGGCGACCTGAATCTTTGAGCAGGTTTCGGCTGCAGACCCGTCCCTTTAGGCGCCATTTTTTTCTCCTTTTTCTCTAACATCCTCATCTTCAATGTAAAACTTACCATCTAGGTTACCATAAAAAAAAAACCTCCATTGTTTCATTTCCTACGTGTGCTCGAATACTTGAGTTAAAATCACGGTCGAAACTGTCTGATCTTACACCCCAGTGGAAACAGAAAGCTAAAAGGACAGATTACGGAGCTTCTCCTGTAAATATTAGCGCCACCTCATTGAGCCCCTATTGAACTGTTTTAATGGGGTCACCTTTGGAAACCATCGCAACCGTTGTGGATCCAAGACAACTAAAGCTTTCGTCCTCGGCAAAGCTGCATTTATGAACTTTTCAGATCCACATGTCTAGCCTCTAAGGGATTAAACTAATTTCGATGAAGTAGTTCTTTAAGATGCAAACTGCCTCTTCTCTCCTCAGACACTTGGTACTAAATTACTAACACTAATTTCCTTATAACAACAGTTATGAGTTCCAATTCTGGTTCATCATCGGAGGTAATTATTTTTTTTCCTTGCAGGTAAAGCTGAGAGGAGACCAGCCAAGAAATCCATCACCGTCTCCAAAACATCAGGTGATTTCACCTCGTCTCTCTCCTGTAAACAGTTTTCTCCTGCCTGTGTCATCTGATAGCATTTGAACTCTATATGCTCTGAGCGTAAACGCTGTGGTTACGCGGTTCCAAGGTAAGACTTGAAAGACGGCGGAGGGGGAATGTACAGTAGACTCTCTCTGCACTCTCTGTGTGGGCGGCCTGTAATTTGGACCTTCGTCAGACAGTGATCACACAGGCAGCGAGAGGTTTAGGGATTCCTCTGAACACGACCTGAGAGCAGGAAAGAAGGGTCTAATTGAAATACCAACACAGGCGCTACGTGGCACTTTGAACGTGCGAGTGCGTGTTTGCGAGTGCAGGTACTGCGGGTTAATGGGCCGGAGCCCAGGGAGCTGGATGTTTGTTCATGAGGTACAGTAAAGAGTGGGAACCATCAGAAGCAGTTAGTGAGGACTAATGACCCTGTCATTAGCGCTGCTCTATCATCTCATTGCTGCTCTGTTCATCTCAGCTGGTTCTCATGAGCCTAAAGAGACTCTCTCATAAAACAGAAGCTGGGCTGGTTAACACACTGGCTCTCTGCAGTATAAACCTGCTGCAGTAAACACAGCCGCCCGAGCAGCAACAGGCTTTTGTTATTTGCTGCTTTATAGAGGTTTTGTGTCAAAGATCGTAGCTCAAGGACACAGTAAAACACGTTTTATTTTTACGGATTTAGAGCCTAATTTCATGATCTATTATAGTAAATTAATTAGTTTCATTGTCAGTCATTAAGCCAAAGCCCTCCTCCCGCCTCATTCTCTAACTAGCAGTTGTGAAAGTGAGGTTTTGTGTCCATATTAAAGCTAAATAGTGCTGGATAGACGAGCTGCAGCCAGGATTCTGTAAATACTAAAGCTGTGCTACCGCTAGCACACAACAGAACATAATGAAACTGTGTCACTATTTAAAAGAAAGATCTAATGTGCAATATTCCATTTAATCGTCTCATTATCACGTATATTACCTCTGCCAGCATTACTCGTTACTGTTCTACTCTTGCCTTATTTCAGCTTCCTTATGTTTTTTTCAGTAATCTATCTGGTTGCTTTCCTCTTTTAGGCATTCCTTATTATGTCATTTGACTTTTTTTTATGAGCATTACTTGACAGTTTTTCTTTGTGTACTGGCAGCAGTGCTGGTTGTTCAGCGCTGTGCCATCAGACGTCTAACTCACACGGAAAACACAATAAATCTCTTTTATTAGAATTACATTTATTTAATTTGTTATTGTTATTTTTTGCTGCATACATTTTAAAACCCAAGTGGGACTTTTAAAAGACTGTAAACTCTATTATGGGCCCACATTTGCAGAAGACATGACAGCATACTGGAGTGTAATAACAGCTCTGATAGACAGTAAAATGTAAACACACAAGACTGAGATATAACGATGCCAGCAGCAGCAGCAGAGTGCCAAAACCTCGTGGTATAAAACATGTAATTACTTCAATCTTTTTTTTATTCTGCCCCGTCAAATTAGCCACCTGTATTTTGTCCAAGTCTCTACAGAAATACGTCAAATGAAGTTGCTCTCCAGCTAAATGGATGTTTTTTTTGATACCTACTTGTGATATACCAACTGCTTATCATCATGTTTCTCTCTTTCATGTCCTTTTACTGCTTAGCGGATGGTGACCCTCACTTTGTGGTGGAGTTCCCCCTCAGTAAACTAACCGTGTGCTTTAACATCAACGGGGAGCCTGGACACGTCCTTCGCCTCGTGTCCGACCACAAGTACTCCGGTAGGCCTCGCGTCGAACCATTAAACTGGATTTCACATCGAGCTCTACATCATTCATGCTGCTGATGTGTCTCCTCAGGCGTGACGGTTAACGGTAAGCTGATCGGCGCTCCGGCTCCACCCGGCAGCCACAAGCAGCAGCGCACCTACTTCAGCTCCATCACCATCGTGGTGGATCGACCCCGGCGCGCCTACATCGAGGTCACGCCCAAGAAGGTCATCCTGGACGGACGCGACCGCATGGTGCTGCCCTGCCACTCCACCGTGGCCGTGGACAGCGGCGAGCTGTCGGTGGCCATCGTGGGGAAGTCCAACGTGACCGTGACGGTGGGAGGGAACATCGGCTTCGTGATCCTGCTGCACCAGTACAAGAACCCGGCGCCCTACCAGAGGGACCACCTGGGCTTCTACATCGGTAACAGCAAGGGGCTGTCGCACAACTGCCACGGTCTGCTGGGTAGGTGCCTGAGAAGCTTCCGATGCATGTATATGAAAAATCATAAAACCAAAAGCACAGTCATCAACCACTGGAGGCTGCAGTGATCACTCTGGTGCACGACTGAATTACTGGAATATTTGTCGTGTCATCAGCAGGTGTGAACATTTAGGTTGACAGATGTTGCTGCTAAAGATGGATTACAGCTCCCGAATGTTTTC